ATGTGATGTCGAACGTGAACTGTAAACACTGCATAACCCCGCGCCAAGCCACAGCACTGTACAGTACACTTTAAGCGCTATGTATGTAGTTTTTCTTTTATTTAAATTTTTACAATTTACATATATATATAAGTAAATTGTAATTTACATATTATTCATATTATGCTACAGCGCCCACAAAACATAAGAAACGTTTGAGTCCCCCAGTAGAGATGTCCGTTCTCTATCCACTTCAGGATGTCTTAGTCCTCCGTTTTCTTTTTGTGTACTCGCTCAGGGACTCAAGTATTTCTGTATATAACACAGGATGATAAGGGAATTTGAATTTATTTGTTTATTTATTTATTTATAATATACTGTAATATATTAAATATACTGCAAGTACAGTGACCCCTCGGTTAACGAACTCAATCCGTTCCAGAAGGTCGTTCGTTAACCGAAACTATTGTTTCAATGGGTTTTTGGGTAATTAGTTCCAGCTCACCGAAAATTTCCTAAATTCAACAAAAATGGTAGAAAAGTTCACTTACTTTGAGGTGTGTATGTAGAAGGCTCCTGGATGATGATGATGATGATGGGAATTAGAATGGGGGTGGAGGAGAAGGAAGAAGAAAAGGCATTGGGGTGGAAGAGAAGCCACCCCATGGCACCATTTCATCCATAAAATTTTAGTTCTCTTGGTGTATTTCAAGATTATTTTCTTTAAATCAACACTGCACTGCATTATATATTGTCAATATGTAAAATATATTTCAAAATGACCAATAATTTGCTTGGAAACACAGAAAAAAAGCGTTTAGTTGAAGAGAGTCTCAAGCAAGATGTTACCTACACTGAAAACAGAGAGAGACTAACGCCTGTCTGGTGTGTTAACAGGCTGGATGGCACACCAGAAACTAGTTTCTTTCCCTTAGTTATGTTCAATAGTTGTTAAAATGACTAAAAAAGTTAATATTAAACTTTTAAAATTATTTAATAGTATAAACTTCTTGATATTTACTAAAATAGTAAGGAATTTAAGCCCTAGAACCGATTAATGTATTGGCAGACTGATACTAAAGCTGATTGCCCGGTCAGTGCAAGCGAAAACATGTTGAGGTCGGTTCGTAAGAAATTCGTTAACCGAATTTTTGTTCGTTAACTGAATTGAAGATCCTTATGGAAGGCAGTTCGTTAACCGAAATTTCGTTAACCGAGGCGTTCGTTAAACGAGGGGTCACTGTATTTTCTTTAATTTATATACTTTTTCTCGAAAAAGGGAGGCTACCATTATACCTGGTAATGTACATTTATGGTGGTCGTTAAGGACCAAACTCCGAATCCATGACGTGACTTCTGTTCATCATTTATATCCTAAATTTACCAATGTAGGTAGTTTCAAGAATTAACGCAGTCATTTACTGAATATTCTTTGCAAAAAAATAAGTTTCAAATGAACTATTTATAGGAGATAAGTATTATGATCAGTAAATATACAGATATGCATTACTGACCACCTCCGAACACAAGGACGGCTAAAAATAGCCACAGGCGGTCACAGTCAAGGTCACTTTCCCTTTCTTGCCACTGGCAAATGGGGGGAGGGTGGTGATGATAGCAGCTGTGTTTATTACCGGGGTATATTGTTCTTTTAAAGTATGTTAGACTGGTTTATAATACATTTTTATTATTTTAATATACCGGTAATCTTCATTTTAATACAGCTTCCCAAACGTAAGTTTCAGTATAAAATAATTAGTGGTACTGTAGGACCTTGTGAGTGGTTTACTGTATACATAAATATTACATAAATTATTTCTGCAATTCTTCACAAACAAAACACATAAATCAATTGAATATGTGATGTCGAACATGAACTGTAAACACTGTGTGTGATGTAAAGAGAGCGCGGGTGTACAATGCTATGTAATTTGATTTTCTCTTTTATTTAAAATTTTGCAATTTACTTATAATATATAGGTATACTGTATACATAAATATTACATACATTATTTCTGCAATTGTTCACAAACAAAACACATAACTCAATTGAACATGTGATGTCGAACGTGAACTGAAGCCATAACAACCATTCGAGTGGAATCGCGTTAGAGCAAACGAGTTTGCGTTTTACAAATATCGCTCCTCAATTCATAAATCGCGTTGTCAAAACACGCGTTATAGCAGAACTCACTGTACCACCTCCCCTAGCCCCCACAGGCAAAAACACGGAAGCCATTGTTGATCACCGACCCTCGCAACCACTGGTTATAGAGGTGAAAATCTCACACGTGGGCGCAACGCTGTATTCCACAGAGTGTGTGTGAGAGTGAGGCGGAGCGGACAACTACGTCATCAACATGGCGGCCAAACAAACGCTATCATTGATGCGCTCGGACGCTTCCCGCGAAATCTCCGTTATTCAAGAGAATCCAGACGTTATTATTGAAAATGGGTATCTATTGTAACTTAATTATTGGCGAGATCCTTCTGTAATGAAGATGAAGTCATTTCTGAGATTACTAACAAGATAGTGGAATTGGGTAAACAGCTTGAGTTAGAAATTGATAATGAAGATGTTGAACAGTTGGTTGAAAGTGTAGCAGAAGAGCTAAGTAACGAGGATCTTATCGAACTGGAAGCACAGAAAAATGCAGAGGAAGAAGAGAGTCTAAATGTAGAAGAAGAACCTGCACCTCCCCAAAATTTTTCAGTGAAGCAAATGAAAGAGGCACTTGCTACTATTAATAAGGGGATGCAAATGTTTGACGGAATGGATCAAAATGTTGAGCGTTTTGCCAAAGTTGACAGAATGGTCCAAGAGTCACTTGCTTGCTACAGGGAGATTTATAATGAAAAGAAAAAGCAAACTGTGTGGTCTAAATTGGACATCTATTTTAAGAAGTCCCCCATTGCTGTCTCCTCATGCCCCACCAGTGCTGCCTCTTCACTCCCTAAAGATGATCCAATACCTTCAACCAGCAAGTTTCCACAGTACATAACCTGTCTGAAGAAAGCGACATTGATGACCCACCCAGCCCTGTCTCCTCCTCTGCTTCATCCAATTAATATAGTCTCCATGTATACCTGTAAATAGAAAATTATGGGGGCCCCATGTGCATTCAGCTGACTACATTAAAGGTAAGTGCACAGTAACACTGTATCCATTCTTCATTATTGATTACTTTTACTGTACTGTATTTCATTTTAGATTTTATATGTATTATTTTTTGCATTTCCGATTTACGACCATTCCGATTTACGACCTGGATTTGGGTCCCTAACCCCGTCCTAAGTCGGGGAGCAGTTGTACAGTATTTTATTGTTTTTTATTTATTATTGTACAGTGTACTGTACAGTACTGTATTTAGTTTATATTTAATGTTTTGTTAATTATATTACCGGTATACAGTACTTTGTATGGAACCAATTACCCAATATCCCATTGAAATAATAAATTCAGTTAACGAAATTTTCTGTTGACGGACGACTCTGTTGAACCAATTGTGTTCGTTAATCGAGGGACCACTGTACAGTACTGTACTGTACAGTACTTAACAAAAAGGAAGGAGGACAAGCCACTTTTTAATTCACATTTGAAGGATCAAAGGTTTTGCTACTTGGTTGTAGCTGTCATATGTCATCTATTATCACATACTATTTTATCCAATTTTAAAACTTTTCTAAACTATTCCTGTGCAGAATACAGGTAATCGTCGGATTTGGAACACCCGGCATACGGACCTCCACTCCTACAAGTATTATAGTGATATCTCCATTAGCTGGAATAATTGGTGCAGAATACTTCGGGGAATGAGAAAGTTTCAGGTAACGAGACGAGTCTCTCAAAACCAGAAAAAATCCCTCATCCCTGGAATTTTCCACAACTTTCCGGGTAATGGAAAAATGTTCTTGGTAGTTTCAGAAATTGTGCATTACATCTTCGCTCAAAGCTGGAAAAAATCCTTCATCTCTGCAATTTTCCGGATGACGAAAAACTTTTTTTAGAGGTTCCAGAAATTGCACATTTCATCATCTCTTGAACCCATAAAAATATCCCTCGTCCCCAGAATTTCCGGGTACTCGAAAAATTTTCTCGGAATTTCAAGAAATGCGCCTGATTTTCATCTCTCAAACCTGGAAAAAAAAAATCTCCCCCATTCCCAGAATTTTCCGTAATTTTCTGGTTACTGGGAAAATTTTCTTGTAATTTTCCGAGAAAATTTCAATTCCAGCTATCGGAGATTTTCGGTTAAGAGGGATTCCGGCTAACGGAGATATTAATGTACTTTTATGCCCATGTTTCCGTGTTTTGCTCATATCGACAAACCTTTTTTAAAATACCCGGTACTGCCACTGATTGGTAAAACAGTGGAATTCAGTCACTTGAATGCGGGAAAAGACACAGTAGGTGGGCGTACAGCACATCCCTTCTACTGTAACACATCTACTGTACTTTGTTTGAGTGGCTCCTACATGTTTAATACAGTGGTATAGTTTTACATTGATAATTCATTTGGTGAACAAAATTTACATTTATTGTACAGTACTCCATCAACGGATAATGTGCATTATTTAATAAATTACAGTACTGTAATTCTTAATTGTTTTATATAGTGCATATTTATTTTATTGTACAGCTACTATATTATATTGTATTATTTATACTGTAGTATGAGTTTATGTATTTATGTTTTGATAACTGTATTAATTTATTTATTTTTATTAAAGATGTGGTTTTCACCTGCATACAGTACCTGTATCTGGGGACTAATTAATTATTTGTCATTATTTCAATGGAATTTTAGAAACACATTTTCAGGAACACATTAAGTCGGTAAACCAGGGACTGGCTGTACTGTATCTGACTCAATCATTATGTGGTAGATGTGTTCCAGTTCACTTATTTGACAAAATAAACATTGTAGTGAATAATAAATTTTCCTAAACCAAATATCTGCTGGAATATTTAATTATCTAGCTCATATATTATTTATAATGTGCAATAATTATGCTTTCAGATAATGTTAGGTCAAGGAGTGTTGAGGGATGGTCGTTCCCTGCACGAAGCATATGGCTGTGACCTAGATAAGCTGGTTGAGGGAGACAGAGTTGGAGTGATGAGAACATCACAGGTAGGAACACCAGTTTGGTATATATCATATTTGTTTGCATGAGAGATGAATTTGTCTTGAGAAACATGCATGTACAGTATAATGATGTTTAAAATTAATAAAGTCACCATTTGGCCAGAAGGTTATAAAGTACAACACAGTATTGTAATGATAATACAGTGTATATGAAAGGTTACCTTGTTGAGGATCCTTTTAATGGTGTTGCCCTAATATCTGTTTTTGTTTTCCATGATTTTGTGTATCCTATTTTGGTTCTTCCTTTACCTGTCAAGAGTTCATTTCAGTTGTCAGGATAATGTCGTAGCTTCAGCATTGGGGATGAGGTAATGTATAGCTGCAGGGTGCTATCCTGACTCTCAGATTAACCCATGGCCATACTGTATATGCTAAATATTGTGCCTTGAGCTTATGTCATATGTACAGTATTGACCTTCTCTGAGCTGCTTATAATGTATATATATGAGTTTGATTTTTAAAGTTCCTGCAGCGTCTGAAATGTCCCAGAGTGATTAATATACTGTAGGAAAAATATGACACGTTGCAACCTCTCCAGATGTGGCATGGGTGTGAGGCCTCCCCTTTGTGTAGGCTTCAGTATCGTTTTCACCATGCTAGAGCGCTCGCCTTACAAAACCATTCCCAGATTCATAACATTCTTTTTCAACAATCACTTGAAAACAATCATTATGAATACATGTGCAGTGATAGTGATGACATATATCATGGCCCAGAAATATGTTACGAGCATTGGTAGCAGCACTCCTGGTGATGATAGTGAGTGGGTGCAGCCACAGATAGTGCAACCATCACCCATACCTGCTACTCCATGCTCTCAAGATCCACCCTCTACTTCTGGCTTTCAAGATGCTGGTGCCTCTTGGCTGTTTACTCCTAGAGCAGCTAGTAGAAGGCAGAGTCTATCATGGAAAAGAGGTTACTTCAAGGAAACAACCAGCCCAAAATCCAAGGAAGTGAGTGAGGAGATGTGGTCCCTCTGTCCTAACCAGGCACCACACCACCTTAACAATGTGGCCTTATGATTCCAAAGAACCAGACCCAAACGGCCTAGACATTCCTCCTCTTACACAAATGGTGCTGTTTCAGCAACCTCTGTTCCTCCAAAACGCTCTTCTAAATCAGTTGAGGTTGTTAGGCAAGGTGTGATAGGGAGATGGAGAGTGAAGCGAGATGGTCGTGTGGGAGGCGAAGAGGTTTGTTTACTGATCCTGGCACCACTAGGACCCTCCCTCCCCCTTCGCCACCCACACACAGGCCAAGCCTGCCCCCCATCCCAATTCCTTGCTAACTTCACCAGTGGGAATTATCAGCAAAACATTCAAGTGATCAGTGCAATGATTGGTTCTCTAACAGTGAACCAATATGGGCACTTTGTCGGTGACCTTCAAAGTGCCAGAGATGAGAAACTCCCTCTCTGTTTATGACAAATATTGACAGATGTCTAGCAGTGTACTACGCCATGGAAATTCTGTTGGTGGCTGTCAAAGTGCTGCCATTGAGTTAAAGGCTACCGTGGACAAACACATCCGTACGTCCACAACAACAGATATCAATAGATGTCCAACACTAAAGTATTCCAGGCGCACCTTGTACAGTTTAAAGCAAGGGAACGGATACTAAAATCATTGAACATAATCCATGCTTGTAGCCGCAAACAAGGACGTCATAAACAGAAGCCCATCAGGACCATCATCTCCAGTAGAAAACTAGAGAATCCTATTCCTGACAGACCGTACCAATACACTGAAGTTCCCCGAATATGGTACAGTCTCACCTCCTCAACACTATACAGTGCAGCGTCACTTCCCCAGCCAACATATTCGAAGAGCTCGCTGCCACAGTCCAGTCAGTTGCTGCCAACGTCGTTGTCATGTGCAATGCGTGTCAAATTGTTCTTGAAACCTGCCACATTGAGGGATATCAACTCTTTCATCACCTTCCTACACATGGACGTGGAGGGTGCGTTGCCCTCTTCTATCAAGATGAACTATGTCCGTCACACCTGGATGTTTTAGTCTCAGCTGATGTGGAGGCATTATGGATATGTGTTCTGCCATGTACCCACCCTCGCCACACTGCCTATATCACATACTGTGTGGCATACCATCCGCCTCACTCTTGCACCAGAGACCTTGCATCAATCACCTCATTACCACCTCAGAGTTAGGTACCCATGTGCCAAGCTAGTATTATGCTAGGATTATAACAAAATTGACACACTGATATCGAGAACCAGCTGCTACTATCACAAGCTGTGAACTTCCCTACGCATGGTTGAAACACCCTTGACCTTATGTAACTGACTTAGCGGACCAGTACCAACCACCTCAACCAATGCCTCCTATCGGGTGTAGCACACACCTGTCAGTGTTCTGGTCTCCAGCTCCCACTTCTGTAACAATGTCATGAGCGTTTCCCGCCTGAGGGTTCAAGCCAATCGCAGTGAGTGTGAATGCCTTAGGCCTGAACCAATAAGAGAACCTGTGAGACGTGACATCATGAAGAGGTGGGCCACATCAGGTGGTGTCCCTTTGTGGGCGACACATTTTGAAAAAAGACAGTCTGGTTTTGGAGAGAGTTAACTGTGGGTGTGTGTGGGTGTCATTTCCTCACATGGTGGGGTATAATGTGAGTACTGTTTAGGTCTTATCCGCTTCACAAAATGTACTGTGATTCATGTGACCCCTGGTTAGAGAGCTAGGAAGATAGGCTATTGTTTTGAAGTGTAACTGTTCATTTTGAGTAATGTCGTTAATAAATGAAGAGCTGTTATGATAAGTTCTCATTTCCCTTGTGTTGAGTAAAACATTGTCATGCATGTCGTAGGTATTATGCAATGATACAATGACCCATAAGTAAAAACATAATTATTTCACATTTAAACATAACTATTTCATATTTCCCTTAGTGTCCCCTTGGTGTGTGAGGGTCAACTGTAGGCTTACATTCCTTAACACCCTTCACCGTTCCCCTCAAACATAAACAAGTCTCCCAGTCTCCCTCCAGTCTAACCACATCATCTCACAAAGAAAATACAGAAGAAAAGAGAATAAAAAAATATAAGAAGTAAATAAATAAAAAGAAATGAATAAGAAATAAAAGAAAAGAAAAGGTAAGCATAAAACCCTTTTTTTTTATTAATTATTGTTACACTACCGGCCAAGTGCAGAGACACTACATCAAGACCTACAGGCCGATTACTGACTACAGTGCATCTCTTCGGGCAGTGGATAGTTCACCATCCTTGGACTGAAGTACTTCGTGTGGATGACGTGGACACCAAATGGAGAAATTATACCAACATCACCACGGAAACTCACCACCACTTCCCCGATAAGTCTGTCGGATCACACCCAGCTGACTTGCCCTGGATCACACCTCGGATAAAAAGACTTATGACCACAACCGCTACAGGACCCTTCGCAACCAAATCATCCATGAACCATGCACTGCAAACAAGTCCCACTACCCAACCAACTTGCAACACCTGAAGCAGACCAAAATCAGTCTGTGGTATGGTCAGCTTAAAGAACTCTGTGGACTAAACAATAAGACACGTCCCCCCTCCCCTTTCTTAGCCATCTCACTAATGATGACAGCTGAGCAATCAAACAACCATTTCGCAACTATATGCCAGAAGCTCTCCCTGCTTAACACAACCAGTCTCCCTGCTTACCTACCATCTCCTTTTCCCTCTGATTTAGTAGAAGAATTTGAAGTGGCAAAACGTCCGGAAAAACTGAAGTTAAAACACTCCACCACCCCCATTGACTTACTAATGAAACTACAACCAAGATGCCCAGCTGACTGGAAGACCTAAAATGTGTCACCAGTGCCTAAGTCAACCAGCCCACAATCCTTAAGTGAGCTATGTCCCATTGCAATCAGCCCATACCCAGCTTAATATGTGAAAGTTACGTGTTTGACTGGGCTTATGTTGATATTGCAGGCGCCATAGATCGTCAGCAATTTGGCAATATGAAAACTTCATCCACTACTCACTGTCTTGTCAGCTTTGTCGTCTACATATACCGCCATCTTGAAAAATGAAAGACGTCTGTGGCTGTCACCTTCATTGACTTCACCAAGGCATTTGACCTAGTTGACCACAATTTAATCATCAACAAAGCTATCGACCTTGGGTTTCGAAGAAGTCTTATACCGTGGCTCACAGACTTCCATAGTGACCGACGCCAAGCCATACGCTTCTAAGGGACTGTCTCTACTTTTCAGTCGCTCAACTGTGGCTTCCCCCAAGGCACCAAGATGGGACCGCTCTGCTCCCTTATACTTATCAATGGTGCCCTAAGAGAAACCTATGTTTGCTGGAAATATGTTGACGACCCCACCATTGGGATCAGTCTCAACTACTCGGCTCCTGACTACACTGCCCTCCAGGATTCATTGAACAGTCTCCAAAATTGGGGCACCAATAACCACGTCTCCATCAACCATACCAAGACCATGGTCATGCACATCAACCTCTCCTCATTACTTTAGGCCCCTACACACTCCAGGTTGTAGACTCTGCTAAGCACCTCGGCATCACTATACAGTAGATAACAAACTAAATTGGAAAACACATATCAGTGAAGTTGTCAAATCCTCCAGTTTTCGTCTCCACCTCGGAGTTCCTGTGCCTGAGCTCCTCAGTGTTTACTCAACATTCAAACTTCCCAAGCTCACCTTTGTCTCCACTGCCGGTTCTTCCTCTTTAAATGTCACACAACTTAAACATCTAGAAAAGTGCAAAAGAGGGTATGTGAGATTAATCTCTCCCTTTCCTACTCCACATATCAAGACGCACTTGGCACACTGACCCTCTCGGCCCTCTTTGACCATCACCATGATCTCATCTGCAAATTTGGTGAGAAGCTTCTGCACCATCCTTGACACTGGCTCCTACTTCCACCCGAGATCCCTCGTCCGCGAATTGCTGTTCGACACCACAAATGCATCCAGCCCATACGAGCATGTACTGA